AACCACACAGACTCACACACATACACACTCACAGTTATTGTGGGTGATGATTCAATGAGAAAATATTTATGGTCATGTTTCATAGCAAAAATGCAATCCCGTGTTGTTCTTTACTGTCACACAGATGGGTTGTCTTCCAGGCTGGTCTAAGGGAGGGGACACAAGTGGCCTTGAACTCTAGTTGGACGAGATGTCTTAGGAGCCGCCAGACACCCTCCCAGAGCTGCCACTTTTTTTGAACATCAAACAAATCTCCTGGAATAACATTTTGCTGTTTTTAGTATACACACAGATGAAGAACATGTGGATTCAATTTCACTACACAGACACCCCAGGACTACAGAGGAACATCCTGGGGAAGGAACATGAGACTGCAGAGAACCCTAAGGTTTAGAAAGAAGACATAATTCAAAAGAAAGGAACATGGTATCACTGAGCGCACGCTGTTGGCCAGATGCTCCGCATGCACCTGCGCCCCCAACCCCCACAGCACCCCACAGAATCTGGACGGCTTCTCCTAGTTTATAGAGAAGGCAGTGGAGTTCAGAGAGGGTGCATGATTTACAGGAAGTCACAGAGCGCACTAAAGCTCAGAGTCAAACTCCAGCCGGCCTGAAGCTGACGCCTCCACGTGCTCCTCTCCCCCTCCCCGCTTTGTAAGGACACTCAGGCCAGATCGGGGTCACCCCTGCCTCTCTGTACACAAAGTACCACCTTCCCTCAGGAAAGGCAGACTGTCCCTCACAGGCTTGGTGGCCATTGATAAGCTGCCTTCGCCCCAGCTGGAAATAATCCATAAAATGGCCTCACTCTGAGAATCAATGCCAGAGGCCACTGCACTGATGCGAGGCAGACACATCTCCGTGTGCGTTTGCTTGGCGGGTAAATATTTATACGCCTCAGGCACTTGGCGGTGTCCCAGCCATGCTCGTGAAAACACCGTATTTGGGAGCTTTACGCTGAAGCAGAGAATCTTCGATACACAGGGTGGCAATGACCACGAAATTAACGAGGACTTCTTGGCTTACCGGAAAAACCTGGCAAATTCCCCGAGTCCATCTCCAGCAGGGCATGGCTTGCTGCCTTCCCGTGGGAGTCAGAGACACTGACCCCTTGTCCAGCCAGTCTTTCCAGCAAAACAGGGGGACACACCCATGGAGGGTTCGAGCCCCTGTACCTCCATCAAAAAAAATAAAAATAAACAGACCAAAGAGGACTTTCCAAAATTATAGGTGATTAAAAAAAAAGAAACACTTCCCAGAGGAAAGGCTTCTCAGTGTTGACATTTCACCATTCTGCTTTGCATAACAGGTTACGAAAATAAGCTTTATTTGCACATCATTTTATAGCCTACGAAGAACTTCCGTCTTCCTCAGCCTCATATAACCATCATCCCAACACTTGAGGTCAAAATGGTTATTGTTGCTGTTACTGGTCTCATTTTAAAGGCTTGAAAACTGACTAAGAGAGGTTAAGATACTTACCAGGGCCCTGACTCTGGGAGGAACGTTGAAACTCAAACACAAACCTCCTGGCCCCAAACCCTGCTGTTTTTCTCTAGATCCCTCTAGGCCCTTCCCTCACCACTTGGCCAGCAGCTCCCTGCAGCTGGGAGTTACTTCTGTGTCCTGGAGCCCGGTATCAGCACAAAATGCAAAACGTATGATGGTCTTTACGCTGAGCTTGTGGTGAACACTTTATAGAATAACTCAGCAGGCACACTTAAGCTGCACTGCAGACAAGCGCACCTCTTTCCGCTACACCTTCCCACGATCTGCCGGTGCTCGCCGGGACCCACCTTTCACTCGCATTCCCGTTAGTATGTACGCGTGCCACGTTTACTGGCTGCACGATATTCCACGGTATCTCTGCACCGTAATTCACCGCCCAGCTCTGTATTTTGGGACTTTCAAGTTATTTTTCCAGTTTTCCCTTAAAACAGAGTTATAAGATCCTTGGTTCAGAAGATCCTGGGCTGTTCTTCTGACAAGCTGTTAGCCAGGCAGCTGGAATTCTGCTTTGGACCTGAGCTGCTTATTAAAAATTAAAGCTTTTCTGGAGCTCAGGCCATGAGGCAGATCCCCTCGAGTCGGAGCGAGGAGTCTCCACTTTGACCAGCTCCCTCACGATTTCACACACACTGAAGTCTGAAAATCACAAGTCACGCGTGTGACACAAACTAAAGCTGCATTCTGTCGACAACGCAGCGCCTTTCTCTTGACTCCCCGGTCCCTGGTAGGTCTTCAAACACTCACTCTGTTCTAGAGCAGGTCTTGTCACCTCGTCCTGACTGGACAAGGATGTTCTGAGAGTTGCTGGGTGAGGAGTCGAGGTTCCCGAGGCTCCGTCTCCACCTGAAAAGGCGGCCACCTTGGTTCCTCAACACCCGACTGAACAGGAGCCCGACTGAACAGGGGGGTCTTCTGGTTCAGAGAGTCTCCGGCACCTTCTCCAAGAAGCAGCGACCCAACTGCCGCAGAAATGCTGCCGTAAACACCAGGCCACCCGGCGGAAAGGCAACAGCAAGATCTCCTTCTGCAACCTGCTCGCCGCCCTGTGTGTATCACTGAGTGTAAAGGGACCACAGAGAAGACAGGGATTTTCCCACTCGGCCCCAGAAGAACTCTGAAGGACGCCTGTCACCTTTTTCTCTAGCAAAACATTCCAAGTTCACTTGGAACTTGGGAAATACTCTTTTTCACGAACGTCATGGAAGGAAGCGCCTCTCGGCACCCCGGCCCCGGGTCTGGAAAGGCACGCCTCTGCAGCGTAGTGCGCCTGGGAGCTCTGGGGTCGTGGGTGCAGGTGTGAGCGCCTGCTCACCCCATGGCCGTGCTCCTCCCGGAGCCTGAGTCTGGGGAGCACTGCAGCTGAGCCCCTACGTCGGAGCTGCCCCTGCTGGGTGCAGAGGCGCAGAGGGGCACGCGGGGGTCTTTCGGGGGTGACTTCCCTTCGGCCACCTTGACTGTGGCAGCAGTATTACAGTGTCACAAAGGCAAGCCTTCGGGTCTTGGAGTCCAGAAGACCTGGATCCGAACCCCAGCTCGGCAGGACCGTGGGTGGGTCAGCTGCCCGCCCGGCCCCTCCAGCGTCTGCTGCTTTTTCCTCCTGCTTCATCAGACGCGTGGCTCATTCGCTCAGCATCTCTCCTGCTGCAAAAGCGAGCCCGACAGACCGCTTACAGAAGGTGCTAACGGCTCCAGCTTGTTCCCTTCCCAGGACAGCATGTGTTCCAGAAGTAGCCCTCACACCTTCAACACGTGACTTCCTAAGCGACGATCCCAGGTTTGGGGGTGGCGCCCTGAGCCGAGGTCGGGTGCTGCAGCGCGAAGACCCCGCCCCCGCCCCCTCGCTGCAGCGCCACCGCCGCCCGTTCTGTTCCCAGCGCTCCGCCCAGGCCTGGATTTGCAAAAAGTCCGCTGCCGTGCGC